TAATTTCTCTCAGATCTTAGTGTTTTCCGAAACCCATCATCTTATTGGCTGGATCTATTTGCTTACCCAATCATCTATATTCAATAATTTGGGTAAATTTATATATAAAATGAAAGCATTTCCATCATTTATCGTAGTATTCTTATCTGCAGATATTCTAATGTGGGCCTGAAGTCACAGTTGTGAGCAGGAAAAACAATACACTTTTCAAGACCAGTACATAATAAAAATATGAAGGCCCTTTTTCCAATTACTAAGAATTTATACGTAGTAACAATAGGGCATTAAACTAAGTACAAGGCCCCTCTAAGCAGTGGGGGGCTGGCATGACAGTCCTGGTCACGTGCCAGCCCTGGTCACATGCCCATAAAGTGCCGAATTAGGCTCTGCTCTGACCACCTGACGCAGGCACGTGGACAGCCATTTCTGGGTGCCAGGGTTATTTCAGTTTACTGTTTTTTTACACAAAAGTTCAGCATTCAGCCCAAGAAGAGACCCCAAAAATCAGAGAAAAAGTGAAAAAACAGTCAGTAGAGTTGGAAACAGATGATACAGATGCTGAAACTATCAGCTATTTTTGACTATAAATAATGTATTAAAGGGTCTAGGGCTGGGGATATAGTTTAGTAGTAGAGGACTCGTCTAGCCTATGTAAGGCCCAGGGTTTAAACTCTAGTATGTTAAAAAAAAAATGTGTTGAAAGAGCTAGTAAAAAATTAGAAACCTGTATGATAAAGAATTTTCTCAGAGATATGTAATTCTAAAAGAAACAGAAAAACTAGCATTTTTGAATGGAATTGCATTCCCCCAAATTTATGAGTGGAAGTTCCAGTCCCCAGTATTACTCTATTTGAGAGTAAGGTCTCTGCTTACAACTTAGTGCAATCATGATCTCAAATACTAAGAATTCTTCCAGCCTGCTTGTTAGAACAATGGGTGCATTAGAGGGAAGAATTTGTGAATTTAAAGATAGTCACTAGAACTTATCCATCCTGAACATAAGGAGTAAAAAGAGAAGAAAACCTAACAGAGAGGTGGGACAATATGAAATGGTCTAACATACATGTAATTGAATTCAAGAAACAGAAAAAAGAAGAGAGGACAGAAGAAATAATAGCCGAGATTCCCCAAAATAAATGAAAGACAACCAGCCACTGATCCAAAAAGAGAACCCTGTGCTAGACAAACACAAATAAGAATCCACCTGGGCCCTTTAACATCAAAATGCTGAAAACCAGCAATAACAGGAAAATCTTGAAGGTAGTAAAAAAATAATTAAATGTTCTATAAGGAAGACATTAAACAGATCTTTCACAAGTGAAAATAAAGCTGTATTTGTTTGTTTTGCAAATGGAAGCAAAGCGAATTTATCATCTGCAGGCTGGCACTACAGAAAATGTTAAATTCCTCAGGTAGGAGAACTATGAATGAGTTAGTGAGTTTCCCATCGCTGTGAAATGATTTCTGAGAAGAGCAACTTAAAAGCGGGAAAGTTTATTTTGGCTTATGGTTTCAGAGGCTTCAGTCTGTGGTTACTCAGCCCACAGTGTCTGAGCCCGTTGTGAGGCAGAACATTATGGTGGAGAGAGCAGGTGGGACACAAGGTCCTTGGCCTGAGCCGCGCTGCTCTGCACAGCAACGACAAAGGCGTCCTGAGCTTGATTTACTGGGTTCCTAGGGAGCATCAGATGACTTGGAGGGTGGTGATGATCCTATGACGGTGAGGGTGGTAAGTCAATGTGGGGCTTATGTCGATTAGGATGGCAAAAATGTTCTTACAACAGTAGGTGGGATGGGTTAAGTTCATAATGAATTTGTCCCTCCCCAGGTGAAACCTTTCTCTTTTTGGAATACTATTCAGCTTGTAAAGGACCAGAATGTCCTCAGCTGATGTAATCCTTGGGCCTCACATCACCAGGGACCACTGAGGCCTTGTCCGTGACTGGAGGCAAAACGAATTATGTTTCCACCTGCCACAGCCGGCTCTCAGGCAAGAAGCCCAGGCCTCAAACAGCCCTAATCATAACTGAATCGTGAAATGATGTTTCCCCAAAATTATGTAGAATGGCTCCTGACAATTTCACCTAAAACAAAACTATTATAATTCAGTGACTTTTTTAGTGCATTCACAAGGTTGTATTGTACAACGACTATCTTTCTTAAGTATGAGAACTTTTTTTATCATCCTAGAAAAGCACTCCATATGCTTTAAAGTAACCACTCCCCCAATCCTTGACAATCACTAATCATACCTGTCTTTATGGAGGTACCTATGGTGGACGTTTCACACAGAGGAATCACACAACATGAAGATGTTTTGGTCTGACTTCTTCTTCACTTAGCATCATGTTTTTGTGGCTCGTCCACATTGTAGCATGTATTGATATTTCATTCCTTTCTGTAGCTGCATAATATTCCATTGTACAGATATACCATGATTTACTTATTTATTTCTTAATGGATAGTTGTTTTTTCTACCTTTTAGTAATTATAAATAATGTTGGGCCAGGGATTTAGCTCAGAGGTGCTGCTGCCTGCCTCATGCAAGGTCCCCAGTAAAATCCCTGGTACCAAAAAAACAAAACAAAACAAAAACAAAAAACCCAAAACCAAAAAATTATAAATAATGCTGTTGTAAACAGTAGTGTACTGTTTGCCTTTACTTTTTTTAAAATTGAGTTTATTGGTACATTTTAGGTATACAGTACAGTTACATTCATCATTGGGACCTTGTACCTTTACGTGACAGGTCTTGGTTCTCATTTTTTCCCCTTGTCCCTGCCCTCCCTTCACCCCTCCTCCCCTCCCCATTTACAAACACTTCATTTCCATTTTTTCATTTTCTCATATTTTTTCCTTTTCCTTTATTACCTTTCTCCTACTCTTCCCACTTTCCCTACACTTTTAGCCCTTTTCCTCCTATTTCACATTGTCAATTATCTCATTAGGATCTTATGTACTATTATATTTTTTAACACCAGAGAAACTATTCGGTATTTACACGTGTGTGACTTATTTATTTCACTTAGGAGTATATCCTCAATATGTATCCATTTTCCTATGAATGACTCTAATTTCTCATTCTTTATGGTTGAGTAGTATTCCATTTTATACAAAAACCACATCTTCTTTATCCAGTTTCCAACTGATGGGCAAATCCCAGCTCTCTGAGGTATCTCCATATTGAATTCCATAGTGGCTGCACCAGCCTGCACTCCCAATGGAGAAGGGTTCCTTTCTCCCCACAACATTTGTTATTGGTTGATTTCTTGACAGCAGCCATTCTTTGTGGGGTGAGGTGGAATCTCAGTGTTGTTTTCATCTGCATCTCTCGAATGACCAGTGACATGTTTGTGTTTAGACATATCTCTTTTGAGTATACACCTAACTGTGGGATTGCCAGGCCCTTTGGTAATTCTGTGTCTAAGTTTGTGAGTAACTACCGATCTGTTTTTCATAGTCACCACACTATTGTACATTCCCAACAACAGCATATGAAGTTTTTTTCTTTCTCTTTGTTTAAAGTCACTTAATGGCATGAAGTCACCTTAACTTCGTTGCAGTTCTGTTTGCTTTTGTTCTTTGTGATGCTGGAGATGGAACATGAGCCTTATGCCTGCTACGTAAGTGCTTCATCACAGACCTGTGTCCGCAGTTCTCTCACTGTAGGTTTGAGTTTCTGAGTCGTCCGATGACGTCGTAAGTGCTCTCTAGCATTTGCCAAGCCGCCTTCCTCATTCATTTTATTGGTACATTTAAGGCATGCGATGTCATGACACTCATCGTGGGAAATCTGGTCTTTACGCGACCCGTCGTGGTTCTTATTTGTCCCCATCCCCTGCCCTTCCTCCAACCCCTCCACCCTCCCTATCTACAGAGACTTTGCTTCCGTGTTTTCATATTAATTCCATTCCCTTCTCTCCTTCCCCTACTTCCTTTCCATCTCCCCTTCCCCTGCGCACCTCTTCTTCCTGTTTCACGTTATGCATTGTACCTTTTAGACCTGATTTACACAAGCCTCCCACTTCTTTTTGAGACAGGGTCTCACTGTGTAGTTGAGACTGACCTGGAACTCACTATGTAGCCCAGGCTGGTCTCGAACTCACAGCGATCCTCCTGCCTCAGCCTCCCGAGTGCTGGGATGACAGGCGTGCACCACCACGCCTGGCCACAGCCCTTTTTAGTTATGAAAAATTATTAAAGCTATTGAAGTTCTTAACTAGCTTTTGCTTATGTAGATTCATATCCAGAAATATTTACCATATTTTGAAACGAAGAGCAAGAAATTTTTAAAATACCATTTTTAATTCTTTTATAAACAGTAGGAATAAAATTGTTACATATAAACATCACCACTAATGACATCACCACTTATGTAGCTTCTGGAAAATTCCACCATACATTTGCAAGAGGAAGGAGACCAAAAATAAGTAAATAACATCTTAGTATCATAAAATTTTTTGATGTAACAGCCTCCTGGATCCTCCAAAATGAGTAATTATAATACCATTCAGTTTTGCTCAAATAAGAGTAAAATATTTTTTTCTCTGAGTCCTCTCAACTTTATCCAGAAAACATATCTGGGGAAGTGGGGCATATATTTGGAGAAACTCTGGTTTGTACCTGGTTGGCCACACAAAGGACAGAAAATAATAATCTATATCTAGACTCTGGTGAAATCTGCCACTATGTTTCACAAAATTATTCTGCCTTTTCAGAAAGGAAAACTGGTTGACAATTTAAATATCAGATGTTAAATCTGAATATCTGAGTTAACTAGTTTGACAGGAAATAACTTACCCAGAAGATTTCACTGAAGCCGTAACACTGAAGGTGATTTTGAGGGGTAAGATTGAGGGTAGGTGTGCACAGGGGAAATCCAGAGGTTCTCAAAGTGTGGTGTGCAGACCAGGATCATCAGTTTCACTTGGGAACTTTCTAGAAACATAAATCCCAGATCTTATGTTTCAGAAACTGAGATGGATCCAAAAATCTGTGTCTTATAAGGCCTCCAGGTGACTCTGGTTTGGCTCGCTTTTGGGTGACACTTGAGGACCACTGGGATATCTTTACCAAAGTTTCCAAAATTAAATTTCAAGATATCAATATAATCTCTCCATCATCTTCATTCCTTCTTTTATTCCTCCCTTAGACATTGAAAGCATTGATTTTTTCAGTGTTTTAATAACAAATATTGGGGAAGTACACATTCACACACTGCATGTCAACCAGTAAACATTACATTAGTGCAGGCCAGATTCAGAGTATGACTTACAGTAGTTCCAAAGACACAAACTCTTATAAAGAGGCCGAATATACAGGTAAAATGTTTCAATAAGCATAACTCATGACCTGGGACCTGGTTTATCCTTCTGTTTCTGGCACTGACTCCACTGAAATCCTTTCAAATGTTGATTTGGTATAATTCCCAGGGCTTGGCTGCCCTATTTTGGTGTTACCCCCAAATTACTCTATCGTAGCACCTGTTCTTTAGGAAATAATAAGTAAACCCACAATAGAAGGGGATTTCCTTATTAGACTGAGCTTTAAAAAAAAAAAGCATCTTCATTACCATCTCAGAGTTCTTACAAGATGTTCAGTAAGTTATATAATCAGGAGAATAGGAAAGCAGCTAGAGCCAGGGGAAGGAACCGCAAGGACAAGATCCAGAACCACAGGGCATTACTTTAGTGCTGGGCTTCACTTAGGATTTCCAAGCTGGGAAGCTGGCGTGAAATCCACATGAAGGTATTTTTCTTTGTATTGTCTGTGGTATGGAGTCGCATACCATTCTAGCCTTCATCAACTCTTATACACAAAAATATGACAGAATGTTCTGATTGTTCCTCCATCTTCCCTTTAAAGACCTTGGACTTTTTGGAACAGTCTGGAACTCACTCTTTGATGGTACAGTCTGGCTTAGTGATGAATTACCATGAGATAACTTTAGAGCTTTCCAAACTCTAAGTGGTCACAAGAGACGGCTGTTGGGAAAGTGTTTTACTTCCTTGGTTTTGCGTATGCTTCATGACTCCTGTGGGCTGTTCTTACCACTCTTGGTTTTCTAGGTGGCTCTTCTACTCTTCTTCCTGTTGTGACAGCGTAACAGGAATTAGTAAGATGGGAATTAGGATGCTATTAGGCAATAAAGACAGTCGAGTGAGGATAACTCCAATAAAATGGAGTTGGGAAGCCCAAAATGGTGTCTGATGAGTCCTGACCCTTCAGGAATATCACAAAAACATCTACCAGGTTTCCTTTGGCTGTCCGGAACCTCACCAGAGCATGATCAGGTGATCCACTGGCTCAAGGGCACATGGGTCCCGCATAAACATTGTGTGAATTCTGCATACATCGGACCCTAAAAAGTACTTGGTCAATTATATGGTGGAGGTTGTATTCCTTACACAACAGCCCAAGCTCCCTTCTAAATCCCTAAAACTCAACAAGGACTTGGGCAATCCTATTCAAAATTCCCTCCTGGCCAGCAAGAACTTTGCTTCCTTGCCTTTATATCTTTTACTTACATGCCTTTATGCCTTTTAAATAAATTTGCTTGCACCCTATGTCTTTCATTCATGGTTTCCTTCTTTGTCACTGCGGGACACAAGCTGAGCGTTCTGGTAACAATAGACCTCCATCGTAGCCATGTGTAATATTGTACCAAGGGAAATGTGGTTCTACTCTAAAACAATGTGGGAAGAACATTCCACGTTAGTCCCAACCGACCTGCTAATTTCAGATTCTGCCTCGGGATGATGTTACCTCCCCACGTGATAAAACCTGATCTCAAAGCTTCTCCATCCCGCCAGAAGCCCAAAGCTATTCTACTGCATGGTTTCTATAGCATGATAACTCCATTCGGTATTCCACGAATGCATCTGAGAAAGAACCCAAGGAAGCCCTCCCCTATCCCTGTTAACTCCAGGCTAGAAAGTACTGATAGATGCTGAATGGGTCTCGGGAAATGAATAATATGAGGGTCTCTGCTTTGGGGCTAATTCCCAAGGGGTGTATGACTTGAGATCCTCATTTTATGTCTCATTCAAGGACATGGTGGATACAGGGTCCAGCTGTCTCACATACTGCAAAGTGGGAGTCCTCTCTGACTCATCCCTCTTCCTTAAGACTCACTTTCACTCAGCCCATTTGATTTTCTTTATGCATTTTTTGTTCTTTTTCTCCTTTACCTATGCAAGCTTTCATCGTCTCCCAAGTGGATTTATTCTGTCATAACGTATTCAAATTGCTCCCATAGTGTCCACTATAAATCTGGCCTCCACGTGGTAGTCAGGGCACTTGGAAGGTCAGTATTACCATTTGCTCCAACAGAGATGTTCTGAGTTTCTCTGTTGCTCTCACAATCAAGACCAAGCTTCTCAGCCTGACCCCGTCTTCCCCGGCTCGGAGTGTCCACCTCTACGGTGTGTCACATTGTCAAAATGGCCCGATTCACTCCGCATCCCACTTGCTCAGCTCCACCCAGCTTTTCCTAACCTATTATCATGTTATTCTATTTCTCTGTATCTTTCCTGCTGTTCCCTCTACCCAGAAGCTACTTTCTGCCTTTCTTGACCTGGCTGTAGGCAGGCAAAATCAGTCCCAAAAACCTTTTTTGAACTCTTATGTAGGATTTTGTCCTTTATGATAGCTTCTACTACACCTTATCTTAGATTTTTAACAAATTATATTTCAAGTCCATGTTTTCTTTGTTTTGTTTTGCTCTTCTCACTAGGTGGTAGTCTCCTAAGAACAGGACCATGTTGTATTCATCTCTGGATCCCTGAAACAGTGCCTGACATTAGCAAATCTTCCATAGTTTTTATTTGTACCTACATGGAGGATAATAGCTGCCAAACTGGAATAACAAGAGCAACAAAGTGTGGGAAATGATTTTCATGAATTGAAACTCCTGTTTTCCAGCCAGTGCTGTCTTACAGAATTTTCTGTAAAGATGAAATCTTGAGTTTGCTTGAAATGTGGCCAGGACAGCTAAGGAACTGAATTTTTCATGGTATTTCAAATATCTAACTTTAAACTTCAATGTCCCCAGGTAGCTAGTGGTTACCATATTGGACAGGGTGGTTTTAGACGTGCCCCTGTCCTTACCTAACTCACAGGAACTCTTGGTTACTTCCTACCTTTACCAGAGCTTCTCAAGGCAAAGCTCCAGGCAGGGTTGTACTGGGAATCATTCGCATCCAGTTCTCTAGAAACGGCTGTCCATTTCCATTGTGTAAATAGCCCTACCATGCCGATCTCTCAGCTACCAATGTGACATCCCCTGCACACAGAGCTGGGAAAAGTAGTATCCCATGTTCTACTATTTCTGTGCTAGAGGTACCATAGGTGTAGATAACTCTGAGAATAGAGACGATAGTAAGATGTAGTAAATAATGAGGTATTTGTTAATTGTGAGTATTTATTACTTTTGTTTTAATATAATTTAATTATTAGTTTGTACACTTTAATTTTTAAGAACTAAGCTTTTAAAAATTTCACAAGGCTGGTTCAGAGATAGAGCATCTGCCTACCTATCATGGTTGAGGCCTGGATTCCATCCCCAGGACTGCAAAGCAAAGTTCAGTACAAGTTCCTGAAAATGTGGCCAACGCAAGGCTGCTGCAGTGCATCCCTAGCTCCTAGCAGTTGTTCCAAAACAAAGAAGACTCTGGCTAAGCTTCCAGTGGTGCCGTAATTCAAAGGTAGGATTTCGGCTTGGCCACAAGAGCGGTATCATCGATGAAACTAGATCCTGGGAAGCAGAATTTTCCTGCTCTCGAACCAAAAAGGTCGTTTTGAGATTTTTGTCTCCCAAAGATGGCAGTACTTCAAGGCCTCTTAAATACTTCCATAGTTTCAGGCTGTTCTTAACCTCACAACTCTAGTTCTAAATGGCTTTCACATAGCCTTGTCCTCTACGTCCTAGATGCAGGTCAGATCCTTCCCAGGTACCTAGCTGGACAAAGGAGAAGGCCTGACAAGTACTGAGTATCTGCAATATGTCAGGCACGTACTCTGTGTCTGTAATCCCGAAACAACTCTGAGAGAAACGGGTGGACCACTGGATCTATGCATAATTCCTAGTATGATGACCCTGGAGGGCTTCTCAATTGCATTGAGATAATTTGTATTTTTAATTCACATAAGGAATGATAAAAGGATATTTCAGATTCTTAACGTTTGGTTACTTATACTGGTATAAGAAGGGGAGAAATACGTCCCTCTCTCTCTTTGGCTGGGCTAAAATCCATAAGGACTTGGGGTGTGGAGGTCTTTCTGGGGAGTTTATATCAGGGTTGGCGAAGGCCTACCCTAGTGCAATGGTAAAGTATGCCGGATAGTCGAGAGCGACCCGGTGAAGCTTGCCATCTTCTCTAAAGGGAGTGCAAAGCTGACTACTCTTAATTCTTCATTCCTTTAGCCTAGTGCAAACTCACAGATGGTGGTTATGCTTTTCTGGGGATGCATCTCGGGGTGCTTTGCCTCTTCCGTCTTTTGACGAAAGAAGTTTTGCCTCAACAGTAGTGAACTCACCATCTCCACTGCCAGGTGATGCCAGTCAGAAGGAGGGTGCTGATCAGCAGGAAAATACAGCCAGCCACTGTCAACAGAGAGGTAGTTCAGCAAGGGCACAGTGTGGCTGAATTTTGGGGACACCAGGAGGTGGGCACATAAAGTAGGTGACAAAGCCCCCCAGTCGAGCAAGGGCCTCTTGAAGGGGTGGATGTCACTCTGCCTCCCCTTCTTGGAGTGCAGGTCCCTCCCCCAGGGCTTCTTGGAAGGCTTAAGGAATCAGGGTGAGGTAGGCGGGCATGGAGGATGTGCCTTAAAGAAAAGGTGCTGTAGGCTGGGGATTTAGCTCAGTGGTTCTGCGGCCTGCCTCGCAAGTGCAAAGCGCAAGGACCCAACTTCCATCCCCAGTACAAAAAAAAAGAAAGAAAAGGTGCTGAGCCTCTCCTCTGGGCCAAACAGGTAGACAAGCAGTTCAGAAAGGCTCAGAGGACTCATTTAAGGAGACTGTGAATGAGATCTGCATGTGGTGAAAGAAACAGTGAAACAAGAAGATAAATACACACATTAACACCTGAAAGTGTTCACATTTTCCAAATGCTGATCTGCAGAGGTTCTGAAGTCAGTCATTTATTACCGTCCAGGCAGAGGGAGCTTTACGCTTGTATTTTCCCCCCTGACAGGAAACTGCTGCCTCGTCTGTGGAACCCGTCTGTGGAACCTGTCTGTGGAACCGCATTCTCTCTCTTCCTGGCTGTACAGCCCCTCCACCTTCTTCCTGGCCTGTTCACCACTAATGGGCATGAGGCATTGCCCTTTCAGTCTGCTCAGGAACTGGGTGAGGCTGCTTTGTTACAATATATTGTAACAGATTCTTGAGTGATGGTGGTATCTGGATTCATTTTTTTTATCCTTAAAACTTTGTATGTTAGGGCCAAGAATTTAGCTCAGTGGCACCACACGTGCCTGGCAAGCCCAAGGTGAAAGGGGTCTCGCGTGCCCCTTAGGGTGTCCCCTTCCCAATCAGGTCACTCATGCACCGAGAGGTCCACAGGAGATCTTTGTTGCAGAGAGTCAGGCGGAGCACAAAGGCCGGGAGGTGGGGGGGGGGAGGAGGAGGAAGAAGCAGAAGGAGAGAGAACAAAGAAAGGAAGGTCTTTTATCAGTTTTGGGGTGGGTTATTGCTTATGTATCAGGAGTGAGCTACTTTTAACCTATCACAGGCCAGATTGCTTTTATGGGCCCAGTCCTGCAGACACAGGTTTCAACTTTCCTGGACCACTGTGGCCTTGGGGGGGTAGGGAAACCAGAGATAAGGGCATGAGGTCATTTTAGGAGCCAAGATGTACCAGGAGCATGCCGCCTGTGAGGCGGCGTCACAGCATACTTTAGCATGATCAATTCCCTAACACAAGGTCCTGGGTTCAAACCCCAGTACCAAACAAACAAACAACAACAACAACAACAAAACCTTTATATGTTGTAAGATAGGATTGTTTAAACCGGCCAACCAATCTGTCCATGTCCGAGTTGGATGTGCATTTTGTCCAAAAAGGAAACGGTCTCACTCACCTGCTACATGATACTCGCTTGGAAATATGGGCGTCTCCATGGTTGTAGCTGTTTCTCTCTCTTTTGAAAGCTCTGTGGGAAATGGAGAGCAGGGGCAGTCAGTTTATGCCAAGAATAGGACTACGCGAGGCTAGAGAGTCAGAGGGTTTCCCAGTGACTCCTCCCTGGTGGGGCGGAGGAGCCAGCTCAGTTACCGCCCCACTGCCTGGGGGACTGCTGACTTGGTGGCTCCTTTCTGTCACTTGCCGTGGGGTATGCAGGTTGCTAAGGCCCATCCCTGCTCTGGAGGGGAGGGGTCTCTGGGATTGGCTTCTCTTCCCCACCCTGCCTATCTGCTGCAGGGGTGTATGTCAGGCAAGGTCTGCCCTTTCCTGATTCGGCTTTAGTGAGTGAACTTCCGTCCTCATGCCACCTCTCCCATACCTGTTGTTGTGGTGGGGCAGGAAGCCTCACTTTCAGGAAGGGCATCAGTGCTTGCAGGAGTGTCTTCCTGACCTGGGAGAGAAGGTAAACAACGCTTGTGGAGCCCAAGATGGGTGGATGAGAAAGAATCTCACCCCTCCCTCCTCACACCCGCCTTCTAGAGGCTGGCCCCAGGTGTGCCTGCTGAGACAAGACTCCTGCTTTGGGTACATCTCTGGCGGCACAGTTCCTGTCAGTGGAGTTCAGTTGTTGCCTGGGGCTCTTTTGCTCGATTCAGGTGGACATCGTGAATTGGCAAAGCGCAGCTCTGCACTTTGGTAATGCCGGTTGTCAACAGTTGATACAGCCAGCTGCTGGGCACTGCTGCTGCCAGCTGTCACTGATGCTGGCTTGTGTTGGACACTATAGGTCAATTCTACCAGGCACTGGACTCTGCCACTGCCAGCCACCACCTTCTGGTGCTGGCTTGTGCTGGACATTGTAGGTCAACTCTACTGGGTGCTGATCTCTGCCCCTGGTCTTCATTGGCTGCTGGCCTCTGAACTATTCGGTGCTAACAGCTCTGAGTGTTTATTGCCTTTTCTTTTGAATTGACCACTTTGTCCACACTACTCAGGATAAAACCAAAAGATCTTCAGAACTTTTGGAGGCCCATACTGCCGAGAAATAAACATGAGCGGTTTACAAGACCACCAAAGGAAGTCTTTATTTTAACCGGGCTTGTGCACAGGGAGGCCAGTACACAGGAAGGAGCCCTCTCAGATTAAACCCAAGATGTGGGTGGGGAAAGCTGCTTATATTGCAGTTGCAGGCCTGTTTCAAGGGTGGAGGCAGGGCTGAAGGCTTGCTGTAAATGTTAGGTATGCAAATAAGGGTCCCAGATTCCTCCTTTTCTGATCTTAGCCTCTCCAGGGCACCCTCCACCTTCTTCAAGACAGCAACCATACTGCCAGAAGTGTGCAACACACTGTCTGTCCGGCTGCACTCATGTTGAAGAGAAGAATGATAGTTACCTGCTAGCAGTGACACCATGAGATATCCAGAGAGGACACTGAAGCAGACTGTCCCAGCTCACTGGGGCACAAGGGGAAGCAAGCTAGCTGCCAGCCAAACCATGGCCCCTTTCTAGCTGGTACAGGAAAAATGAGAGACAGGTTTTTCTCACCTATCTTAAAGTGGCCTCAGCAGAGCAGGTAAGGGGGAATTCTGGCCCTGACTGGCTCTCTGTGAGACTCTGAACCAGCTTTCCTCCCTGGCATCTCTATTTCCACCCCATCTTGGAAATAAGTCCGAATACAAACACTGGAGAAGCATCAGATGAACGGGAAATGCACAAAGGGCAGTCCTTTCTGCTTGACACATCCTCTTTTCCTCTTGGCACGATCAGTGACCTGTTTCCTCAGCCTCTTACAAAAAAAGTGAGTGTCGTGCCCTGGCTCATTGGAAGCAGGCTGCGGGAAAGCGGTACCTTCCCCGCAGACTCTGAAGGGAGGCAAGGGCTGTAAGAAACCATGGTGATCAAAGAGACACCCGTGGTCGAATGTAACTTTTGATTGTAGAAGGAAGATTTCAGAATGAACATAGAGGAAGACCTCAGCGCACGCAGGTTATACATGTGTAGTGTGGCGTGTGTGTGTGTGTGTGTAGGTGGGTGTGTGCATGTGTGCATGTGTGGGGAGTATGCATATGCACACTTGAATGAGTCCCTTCCCTGCACATCTGTCCTTTTGCCAGCGTTCAGGTGGGGACTCATACAGGGAGGCAGCACAGTAACAAGGGAGACCTTGTGCAAGTGGCGGATTTGCAATATATAGAGGTAAAAGGAGCCCACAGGGACTTTCCCTTTTCAACCAAGGGAAGTTTTGGTAGCTTGGGTAAAGTGGGAGAATTTTGGGATCAGTAGACAAGGGACAGCATTATCATCACGAGGCAGCATCGTGGGTGCTTGGGAACACCTGAAAGAGCTTTCTTCCTTCTTTGACTCTGACTATCACCATCCAGGATACAGGAGTATTTTAGGGGAAGGCCTATTTTTTTAGAATGAGAAAAACCTGAGGCCCAGGGGATCAAGTGGTTTGCTGTAGGTCACACGCAAGTGAAATCTGGATCACATTCCATGGACCACATGGCAAGAACAATAGAGCAGAACCAAGGAAGGAGCCCTTTACCTGCAAGCAAATGGAGCTGGCTTTCATCTACGCATGTGAGCTGGGGCCGGGTCCACTGTGTCTTCCCACAGGTCACCTTGCAGACACTTACGGCAGGGCTTCTCTGTATGGCCTTGTATCCCTGCAGGCACTGGTAGTGAACGCTCTGCCCTACCTTGAAATGATAAGTTCTATTCGCAGCTTCATGTTTCCATGGAGCGGGCTCCCAGCAGTCACCTGGAAGATGGAAAGAGAATCCGGAAGGCAACTTAGGGAAAGAATTCTGAGTGGATCCAGGTTACCTCTTGCTAATGGTAGGACCTGGTTCTTATTCTTTCCTTTGTTTCATTCATTCTTCATTCAACCACATGTACTAAGAATGTCCATGTGTCAGAACCTTGCTGGGCACTGTAGGAAGCCAGAGACCCAGTCACTCCTGCAAGGGCTGGACGCCAATAGAGCCAGAAGACCCGGGAAGGCGGAAGGTGGTGGGAATTGCAGTTGGGGGCAGAGTCTTGCTAGGAATTTAGGGAAATGAGACTGCTACCCTAGATAAGGAAGCCCTTGGGTTGGCCCCTGAAAGATGATGCGGGGTTTGAAGAAGTGGACGGGAGTGGGGAGGGTGGTTTTGGCTGAAGGATAAAGCCAATGTGGAAATCACTGTCTCGGTTACTTTACTCATGGCTGAGACAAAATATCTGATGACCAAATTTATAAAAGAAAAGGTTTATTTTGGCCCATAGTCTATAAAGTTTTCAGTCCATAATCAGCTGCCTCCAGAGTAGGGTAGCATGGCAGAGGGCGTCTCACAGATGAAAAACAGCTCTTGGCAAGCAGAAGACAGCAAAAGCAAGGAAGCAACCAACTAGACGTAACTAACACCAAGCCACCATCTGTCCCCTCTATTGTATCCAGGCTACTCATACTTTTAATCCCAGCACCCTCAATTCTAGGGTTGTACCATGAGTCAATCATGCACTCAAGATCCAGTCACTTCTGGAAAAGCCCCACCTACAACCACATGAGGCTTTGGGGAGACACACAGATACAAGCATAACAACCACCTCCCTCCCTGGATATGTAAGAAAATACATCTTCATTGTCCTGGGACCAGAGGGTAAACACTGGGGACACAGCTAAAATCTGCAGGAAGGAAGAGAGAGTTTCAGAGATACAAAGCACAATCTGTGATTAAGCAATAACTGAAGCTTGACATGGGTCTTACCAAGACTCCTAAAGGTCCACGGCATCAGTGGTGATGAACCTTTCAGAACTTGCAGTGATGTAAACAGCCTGCAGTGGTGCACATGCCACAGGTTTCCAGCACTGCCCTGTACCCACTACCTTTGCACCCACTGACTAGAGCCTACGCCCTCCTGACCTTTGGCCTCAGAGCTCTTCACGTTTTGATTTAATCTCAGGATTCCCCGGCCCCTGTCCTCAGTTGAATCATATGGAACTGTATCTATCATGAGACTCCTTATAAGCTCTGGCCCTCTAGACTCTCTCTAGCTCCAGAATCTTACATAACTCCTACAAGTACCCTGGATAAGCCCTCTGCTCCAGCAGGAAGTCAACTGGCCCTGTCCTGAGCTATCTTCTGTTATATGGCACTTTGAAAAGTGTGACTGAACTTGTGTTCTAGTCTCAGAATAAAATGTTCTTTCAAGGGCAATAAAACCCATAACTGCCTGAACCAATTGAATTTGGTTTGCTTCTGTCAAATGCAGACCTCCAAACTATGACATCCCTCAGCCAGGGCCAGCTGGTTATTCTTGAACAAGGAAAATAACCACTGACCTCTTGGAACCCTTTCAATAATTGTGGAGGGTGACATGGAGAGAAAGAGCAAAACAAATATTCGGTATGTTTGGAAACAACATTCCAGGACAAAGCTGGAGGAGGGAAGGGATAAAAAATGTCCCTGGAATGATCTATTCCCCTTAAAAATAAAAAGATGCAAATCAAATCCAAAGTAGTTTGACATGAGTACTCTGTAGAAATGTTCCTTATCTAATCTGGAGGCCCAAGGTCTTATTTCAGTCTGTTTTAGGAACCTGGACAAATCTTTTAAGTTCTCTTTGTCTCAGTTCCTTTAGAAAATTGAAGTAATACTTCCCATCCCCTCACGCATTGAGGTGCCAAGCCCCGGTGAGATTCTATAGGATATGATACAGTTCTTTGCAAGGTTATGCAATTAGCATAACACTAAGGCCATCTTCATACAACCAGATGCGCAAATTTTTCTAGCAGCCTCTATTTTTTTCCTGACATGATGATTTAATTTAAGCATTAGTCATTTGAGAAAATCGAGGGCAGTTGCAATGTTTCCTTATCCATAACTCATCAGCTAGGTGACAGGAGCTTTGCAGAATCGCCAGGGTGTTGTGGCACACTTGATGACCCTGTCCTGTAAGAAACATCTTGACAGAAATTGTTTTGCTTGCAATTCATTGCCTTCTATTTAAGAGAAAAACAGAATTTCCTAGAAGGCAGAGGTTGATGTTCTTGTGTTCATATCTTCTGTTGGCAGCTTCTGACGCACATCAGTCCTCATGTGCTTTTGAGTTGAATCGGGTTGAGTTGAAGTGAATTCTATTCCGCTAGCTTCTAGCCCATAGCCTGGCTTGGCTCCCATAAGAGAGGCTTGAGATGCTGAGCAGACAGCCTGCTGATGTTAAGCGATGGTTCTTTTCAACAGGAGACCGTGAGGAGAATGAAATGCATTTACTTATGGACAGTGGACAGGCTTGCCTCCTTTGGGGAACACATCATCCTACACTAGCAAGAGGAGGTCAGCTCTTGGGAGCCAGGTAGAGGACCATAGTTCAGATGCATCTCTTACCTGGAAGATTTGCTTTATCCACAGGCTGCACCTGACTTTGCATTTCTGGGGAGCTTTTCTCTTTGTGTCCTTCAGGTGGAGGTATGACTCGTTCTGTTGTGTTCCTGGGGGCTACAGAGTATGGGAAGAAGGAAACAAATAACTTCACAAATGCTTTATGTTTCCATTCACTCAGACGCATCCTCTAGTGCCCATGTGTGCCCCGTAAGATCTCCGTGCTGGGGTCACAAAGGTGGGCCAGGTACAAGCCCCTCCTTGGGAGTGGCCTGCACGGACCTTTCCATATTCATTTGCTCCATGACAATATCTACCACTTATTTCTGGAAGAAAATAATGATTTTCTGGTGGAAAACTCTTTCTTTTTTAAAGACAAGGCCTTGCTCTTTAGTTTAGGCTGGTCTTCAACTCAACATGTAGTCTAAGATGGCCTCAGACTCACAGCAGTCCTCCTGCCTCAGCCTCTCAAGTGCTGAGATTACAGGCGTGCACCACCACACCCAGCCTGGAAAATTCTTTTTGTGCATGTGTGTCTCACTAAAAGGGATTCCTTTCTTGTCGTCAGTTCTGTGTCATGCATGGGTATATGGGATAGCGATTAGGAATGGTCTGCTTCTACAACCTAATGAATTCTTCACTCTTCTAAAGCAATTTAAAACCTTAAAGTTAGAGAGACAGGATCTTAAAGCAATGACAAGACAACTCCTCCTATTACAACTGCCTGCTGCAAAGAGCTTGTCAGAGGAGTTGCATGTGAGCATCCCAGTGAAGTGAGGGACAGAGCTGCAGCTTAGACTAAGCGAGACATCTGCTGAATGAGTCAGTGTGATGCTTCAACAGGGTGGCTATCTTTGAACTTCACCATCCGTACATGGTGAGGCCTCCACCATCTCTGGGGTCAAGGAATAAAGATGAATGAACCCACAACATCGACCACATTCTAATACCACAGGGTGGATAGAAGATCTTGAAAGGAAGTATGGCTGCATGAGAGAGCCTTCGGGATTCAAGGAGGAAAAGTCAACAGCAAAATCACGGTAACTGAGCCACTTAGGCTTAGAAATCCTAGAAGAGCTCTTGGAACTGATAAACACTCATCAGATGTTTGCTTGTTGACAAATTATCCCAAAAACCACTGTAGTTAATCATCCTGCAGATTGTTCAGACCAGCTTTTGTCTGTAGGACTCACTGAGCAGAGAAGCTGGACCCTGTCTCCCTGAAGCCCTTAGAAGTTACAAAAGGAGCTACTACTTACAAGTGCTTACACATTGACACTTGTTGGCCCAGGAAGAGTTTCCTATACAAAGCAGATAGATCGACCCGTTTCTTATCCTGCGGAAGCCTTTCCTGCATTCACAGTCTATCAAGGTGCCCTTCTTGTAGGTGAGGGCTTTGAACGTGGCATAGCTGATGATCGGTGGGTGCTGGTCGCAGTCCTCTGCAAAGAAGAAAGAAGCTCGTCAGGAGCTCGCGAGGCCCCAGCCAGACACTCACACATTCACTCACACAATGACTGAATCACACACTTTATCAAAAACTTTTACCTGTGCCCCCTTTTTCCTAGAAACCCAGTCTGCCACTGTTCTTTAGAAACCTTTAGAGCAGAGATTGTTCAGAAGTTTTCACCCACTTTGCTCTCTGAAGTAAAACACATTTGAAATTAAGTGAGAAAAATTAATGAGGTTTTATTCTGAATATGCCTCCTGCTAAGAAAACATAGAAAGACAGAGAAAGGTCAAGGAATGTGAGGAAAGGAAGGGGTGAAAGCCATATAAATTTAATTGAGGGACCAAATTATCTGTGCAAAATACTTTTTTAGGAAATAAGAAGCATACGACTTTCTATAGTTAATGATTCTGAAAGGGTTTTCTTGAGAAATAGACATAAAGTGCTTCGCTCAGTGTCCGGCAAGTAGAAAACGTGAGCTGCTTACTCATCTGCACACCACTGTTTCCCAGCTACATTCTCACACCTCAGCCTGGAAAATGGGCACTGGTGTCCCGGGGGACATCGGAAGTAGTGTCCCAACACCCAACAGTTGAGTGCAAAAACGGCTCCAGACTAATCAGGAAAATTTTTCCATTGCATACTTTGCAGCAAGTTCTTTTGCTTGAAGAGATTAGATTACTAGGTAGGTGCCACATTCTGGATGAAGGAAGAGGCTGGAGGGATGGCAGCTACCGTACGTATGGCTGTCGGTTGGCCTGTTGTCTACTGTGTTCATTAATTTTGGGTGTTAACTTGATTGAACGGATAGATGCCTAGAGTATTGGTGAAGTGCACGCCTGGGTGTGTCTGCGAGGGAGTTGCCAGAGAGGCTGGCATGTGGTCAGCAGAGAGGGTAGGGAGACTCACTGTCGCAGTGGGTGGCACCGTGCAGTGTCCTGCAGCTTAGATGGAAAACCTTTCTCCTCCCTCTGACAGCCTGTGGACATCTGAGTCCAGGTTCTCTCGCCTTTGCACTGTAGGCCTTGCACTAGCTATCTTTCCAAGATTCACAGACCTCCAGCCTCAGACTGGAGGCTGTACTATTGGTTTCCCTTGTTCACGGACACCTTCTTTTTGGATGGAGCAATTACTAATGACTCTGTAGTATGCAGGTGGCCATCAAGGAATTCTTCAACCTCTGTGATCATGGGAGCCAGTTTCCTAATGCATTCATAGCTAGGTGTACATATTCTATTGTTTCTGTTTCTCTGGAGAGCCCTGGTGAATCTTCAGGTTAATCGCTCAGGTTGGTGAGGCCTCTCTGCTCTTGGACTCTGCTCAGCATGCTGGCAATTCTGAACACCACAGCACAGTGGCTCGGGATTTTCCCGAGTCCCCTGAGAACTGAACGTGGGAAGGACTTGGACAGCTTGGTCTCTCTCTAACCGAGAAAGTACTAAATAAAAGCCATTTAAATGGGCCCACGGGGCCAGCAACTATGGAGGAACAGGTGACATGGACCAGAAATTCAAATAATTACAGTAAAGAAAGAAAGGAGATATAGTGGGAAGTGGAGAAAGATGTGTTTCTAAATCATAGCTTCCAAATTCTAGCTCTGCTAGCTTTACTGGCTATATAGCTTTATTGTTTTAATTTTGCTAAGACTCAGCTCCTTTTCCTTTAAAATAAGTATAATGATAATTTTATTGATTGAAAAATGATATGGAACAACATGCCAAGGTAACTTTTAGGTGGTCTAACGAGTAGGAGTGGATGTTCCTTCTACTTACTTCCTTTTTTTTTTTCTTTTTCTTTTTTTTGAGGCATGAGTCTCTCTACTTTTTCCAGGCTGGCCTTGGACTCACTACGTAGCCCAGAATGGCCTCAGATTCGCATTAGTCCTCCTGCCTCGGGCTCCTGGATGCTAGGATCACAGAGTAACACCACCATGCCCATCCTTTGCTCTTTTCACTGTCCAGGAAAGAAAATGGCTAATTCATAGGGAGGCTGGGCTGAAGTTTGCTTTAATCTTGAGCTCCTGCAAAAGATCACATTTCTGTACTGCCCACATCACTGATACTATCTGTTGGCACTTACTACATATCCATGCCACCGACATTTTAAGGGCCAGAGGTGAATCTGCTGCTAAGGCGTGGATAAAAATTTTAAAAAACCGATGAGGGCTTCTACCTTCAGTCATGCCAGAGTAACTGGGACCAAAATTTATCTTTCTGCTGAAAACAACTACAAAGCCAGACCAGACATGTGCGGCAGGAGTTTTTGAGCATTGCACAGCAGACAGTTCAGGGCTGCATTGTTTAAGAGGAAGGAAATGTGTGCACGGTCAGTCCACCACTGCATAGCTTTCTTCCTGGGGCACTTACTCCTGTGCAGTACAAGATAGAGCCCAGGCACTTGGTGGCCTCTCTGACGGGACAAGACTTGGTGGGTCCCTGGAGAGGGGAGTGTGGAGGCATAGAGGAGGCATCAAGTAGGCATGGAGCCCCTCCTCAAGTTCTTTGGAAAGATCTGTGTCTTACTTTTCTCCTTGCTGAGACAAAATACTCAACTCCCAAAGCTGAAAGGGGAAGAGTTTATTCAGCTCCCAGTTTGTAGAGGCTTCTGTCCACGACCACTGGCTGGCTCTAAGGCAGGATGATTCAAGTAGCCAGACAGTCTATGGAACTGTAGTGATCAAGATAGCGCTGCATTGTCATAAAAAAAAAATGCGGGAATGGAACAGAATACGGAGTCGCAAATGGACTCACGGATGTATGTTTAATAGATATTTATTGCAAATTTGCCAAAGCAATTCCATAGGGAAGAAAACGTTTTCCCACAAAGGTTTCTGCAACTGATGACTAAATGTAAGGGGAAGAGGAAAGAGCTTCACCCCATATACAGAATTGAATTTTAACGTGTAAACAGAAAGGTCCACATATGAGAGCTTGCTAAATTGGGGCAGGAGACTGGAGGTGCTTGTTAAACATCCAGAGCTGGCAATATGGGATTCCCAGGAATGGAGCCCTACTTCAGGCTTCAAGGTACATCGCTGTGGCTTTGGCCTTTAGCTTTTATATCTATTCTTGAAAAGAGACAGCCAGAAATTATTATTATTTATTTATTTTTAAGACAGGGTCTCACTATGTAGTTGAGACTGACCTGGAACTCACTATGTAGCCCAGGCTGGTCTCGAACTCACAGCGATCATCCTGCCTCTGCCTCCCGAGTGTTAGGATTATGCCCCGCTCAGAAATTATTATTAATCTTTGATGTTCCAAGAGCTTTAGGCAGAGACATGTACCAAAAGAGTTAAACTGAGTTCTTTTGATGCTGAACATTTAAAACAATAATTTGTGTCAGCTATTTGCTGTGAAATCTGCAGGTGGATCCCACTCATTTCACCCTTCCCGCACTCCATGTCCATCACTTTGCCAAAATATTTTCAGAATTGCAGCTTTCCCTAGGGTATTTGTAGATCTGTTGCTATCCGGGAATTTTTGGTTTCTTCTGCTGACATGTTCAGAGGCTAGTGACAACTGTCAGCCGCCTTTCTCTGGGTGATAGCGCAGAGAAGGAAAGGCAGGACTGTGGGAAGGGTGGGGGATCTCCGAGACCCTTCTCTTCCCACTACCACCACAACGCACTGCTGAAGACTGCACGTCTCCATCTTTTCCAGACTGTGCTAAATGAAAGACCAGTGACTGTTGTCCTGGTGTCATAGATTACTAGAGCAGTTTATCCAAGGGCAAGGAGTAACAGGTTAGAAAAGTCAAACTAGCTTTTCTGACGCCCAGTGCCTCTAGCAGGGGCCTTGGCATGGCTGCAACTGCTCACAGAGTGATGTATACCCAAGCACTGTGCTTACTTTCTGCTACGGTGGCTGGGGAAAAGTAGGTGGGCGGGTTAAAAACATCTGTGGGCTGGGTTATGTTTTCAGTTGTTCTCTCTCTCTCTCTCTCTCTCTTTCTCTCTCATTAAAAATGAGAATTTATCTGATCCTTGTGACCCACTGGCATGAAAGAAAAAGAAAAGGGACTTCCAAAAGCTCAGGACTGAGCTGTGATGAGAATCTTTGCTTAAGATTCGTTATAAAAGGAGCTAAAGGTGTAGGGAAGGTGGGATGGGTAGGGGAAGGGTAATAAGGGAAAAGAAAAAAATGTGAGAGAATGAAAAGATGGAAATAAAGTGTTTGTAGATGGGGAGGGGAGGAGGGGGTGAAGGGAGGGCAGGGGTAAGGGGAAAAAATGAGAATCAAGACCTGTCACGTAGAGGGACAAGATCCCAACAATGAATGTAACTGTACTGTATCCCTAAAATGTACCAATAAACTCAATTAAAGCAGAAAAAAAAGATTCTTTATAGATTCACACTTGATCCACTTCATCCATCCTTCTTCCTGACACATTTATGCTTGCTAGTAAAAGAATTTCCTAAAAGTAAAAGTGAGATTTTTTTAAAAGGCCCTGAAGGAGAAGGTCAAGTTTTTCCACCCATAACTCAGCCAGTACTGGGAAAATGCTTGATCTTTGTGTCTCTCCTATTTCCTACCTATACAATAGTGGTCAAGGATAAAGATTGGATCAGGGAAACTGCTAGATGGCCATTTGTTAATCTTTACAAGGAGTATATCAAGAACTTGGATCACCCTGTGAAAAGGTGATCTGGTCTTTACTCTCAAGTTGTTCTCTTCAGTGTTGGGAGCAAAAGAACTCCAAAAATACCACCAAAGTTTACTCCAACTTTCCTAGGAAACATAAATCAGTGATTAGGGCTTTATAGAGAGTGTTTTTACTGCAAAATAAAGTACCATAGAATATGCTGAATGTTTCTTTTAACGTACTGAATGTGTCTTTGAATATAATGAATGTGTCTTTGAATAGACTCAAAAGGAACTGAGAGCTGGGAGAAACATAGATTAAAAAACAAAAAGTGAGGCTGTGGTCATTCCATGAACTTGGAGCAAGTGTGAACTTGTAGCCAAGTCCTTCGACTCCGGGTTCAGAGATT